CTTGATCACATGAACACTCGTCTAATCATTAAACTTTCAGCACTTAACAGATCTTGACCGGAAACTGAACTTAAAAAATTTACAGAAAAGCTCTATGGAAATGCTGCAGTAGGGTAGAACTTACTTCCTCTGGAAAAGAAATTTCATTGCACTATTCCTTCGCAAAAAGAGGACAACTCGGCGGTGAAGCAGTATAAACATTGCGCCAGTAAAGCCACAAAACAGACTAAAAAAGGGTTAGCTGTTAACAAAATATGTTGAAAGCTATAGTGAGTAGATAAGAAAAGAATCGGTTTTTTTCTCTTTTAAATATAACTAAGTGTGGCAAAAAAAAAGAAAACGAAAACAAACCCAATTAGGGCGAAGAAAAAGAGTTCTTCTGGATAGAATGTTCGGTTAGTAAATGTTGTCTGTACGAAAGCGCTCACAGTAACTGAAAAAAAATCGCTTTTAACTTTGAATACTAAACGAATCTAAAAGTTTTATCATTTTTCTGGCTTATTATTAGGTATTTAACAAGTGAAAGTTGTAAATGATATTTACCTTGAGAAGAACGAGTATAAATTCGGAGAAGAGAAAAAACTGCAGAGCCGCAACAAGCAGCAAAAAAGCCTCTCCAGTAGTCTCGAACAGCAAAATATACGGCAGTTACTTCAATCGAAAACAGCACTCCTATAATTGCACTGTTCACATTGGTTAGTTATTTAATGCAGCACTTCAAAGCATTACTAATTTTGTTAAACATGCATTAAACCGGTAAGTTCATAAATTATATAACACATAAAGTTCATCAAGAAACGAGCAAGTAACAAACACAGACAACTTTAAGGTTATTCGTCGTTAATTGGTAGTCTTAAAGCTGATCAAAATCTTCTGATAAAAATCTATTTTACAGATATTGTTGTTAGCCTTAGCCATACCGTTATCGCTTCGCTCTGCCTCAGCTATGAGCCTCAATTAAAGCAAAAAGCCCACTCTTCTCAACTGCTTTTATTAGTGGAAAATTTAATAGGTTTTTTGTCTGTCAGATTTAAGTTGAGTAAACGAAAGTGTCAGCAAAATTTGAGTCTTATCCTACTTATAGTAATTTATTAAAACAACTTTTGCCTATCACACTTCTTGGAAAAATCAGTAGCAATATGACAGTTTTACAGAAACAGTCATGCAGGGTAAATTTTTCCTTTGCTTCGTTTTCTTTTTAAACGTCACGACTGTTACACTATTACACCAAAAAAGCCATGCAATTTTCAAAAGTCATAGCTTACCAATCTACAGTGACTTCAACGTTTGATCCTTCCAATTTGATTTGAAAAATTTAAATACAGTACGTAAAAGCAAAACTTCATCTGTGGAATAACTTTGTCAGCAATATTTTTTTCAATTTTGGTAAAAAAAGATAAACAAAAAAAAAAAACATTTTGAAAAAAAAAAAGCTCGCCTCCAATTGGAGCAATAAATGTACAGGCAACACCAGCAGCACAACCAGCTGCTAAAAGTTCTCCACTTCTTGACTCATTTACATATGCTGGCTTAAAATTTCGAACCAGTCGACTGATCAAATTTGCTACCATTGAACCGACATGTACAAATGGTCCCTAAACCGTCAATACTTCGTCACATATTAAGCAACCTTTTTTCTTTTCAACTAGGATGATTTTTCCATTAAAAAATAATAAAAACCTCTTTCCCAACTGGGAATCCACCACCAATAGTAAGAGTTAAGCCAACGACTTTTGAGATCAATGTTCGAAACGACAAATACTCCTTTAATGCTACACCACGTAATATGGTTTTCATTTCCGGAATTCCAGATCCTTAATTAGTTTCAATCTTATTAAAGTGGTCAGTTAAGTAGCAAGCGTGGGAAAAACAAGGTGAATAAATAAGAAGTATCTACCAATAGCTTGCGGAGCGACATAATGCGTAAAAACAGCTGCTATTATAACAGCAAGCTCTGTATATACGAGCCATACGATAAGTCGTAGTATAGTATACGTGGTTTCGCTTTCTGATTTTGGAATCAAATTCATTGCTTTAATGTGATCTGAAATGTCTGCCGTATTCAAACTTGTGACTAAAATCAGTAAATTTATAGGCACCCTAAAATGTAAATATAACAGCAAAAAGTGTGACTGACAAGTCTGAAGTTTATCTGTGCATGTGTCCATCAACAGCGATATGCATGCCATAAGTATCCCTAGAACGGCTAAAAAAAGCCAATCTTCTAGTAGAAAATGAATAAGTTTTTGTGGTCGACCTAAAAAAACAGGGATTTGGAAGTTGGTAAACAAAAGTTCAAATCAGTGTTGCCTCTAATGTAAACTTTCATCACGCATTTGTAGAGTTTTAACACTTATTTACTGTCAATAGATACATATTCATAGACATATATAGAAATAAAAAATTGTAAGTTTACTTGCATAATGACTGCCATCGAATAATTATATTGATAAATGATAAACAGTTATGTGCTACTTGTCACTGTACAGTTGAAAAGTTTCAGTCGTAAAAAATTGAACAGTTATGAACAAAAAGTGTTGTAAAAACGATAAAAATAACCTGATAAAACTGAAATGAAAAAAAGCCTGAATAAAATCTTTTTTTTTTGAGCTATTCCATTAGTAGAAAGATACAAAAACTGGTGATCAGTGTATTCAGTTTACAGTTTCAGACATTATCAGCTTAGCATTAACATCTGTTGTTGAGGTTTTATCTGTTTCTTTATTTATCCATTTTTCCTATTCTTTTTGAACATTTACCACAAAAGATTACTTTACAGCCTATTCAACACGTAATCCTTCCAAAAACTTTCACTGTTTTTTTCACCTAAGAACATTATAAAATAAGTGAAAGAATAAAAACTTTATACAATTTGCCAGTTTACAATTGCCAATAATTTTCAAAAAAAAAAAAGGACATGCAAAAATGTTGCCGGAAAAAATTGATAATGCAAAAAGTAAAAACGAAATAGTAAAAAAAAATTTATCAATTTCAGACTGAATCGTATTTAATTCAAATATTTAGACTATTTGTGCCTAAAAAAAGATTTGAAAAAGTGTCATCTTCTGTTACGGCTTTAGGAAATAATAAAACCTAAACCAGGTAGAATGTGCATCAATAACTTACAGATACTATGACACCATCGTTGTCTTAACTTTTTTTTCTTTTTCTTAACTGGTTCAAATTCCATTTTAGTTTTATTGTTGACCTCAAAAGCCACCAAATTTCCGTTCTGTTTTTTCTGTGTGTCAACCGGGAATACATGGCCAAGACGAGTTGATTGTTGCAAACTACGCCCCATTACCGGCTCATCAGATGCCTAAAATGTCAAATGAGAGTTGAAAAAAAGTATTAAGAAATAGAAGAAAATAATGATAATAGCAACGAATGAGTGACAATAATAAATGACACTGATATTTGCTCAAAAATTTTTTACTGCTGTTGATAGCTGTCATCAGACATTAACTGTTATATCGACTATATTTAAGTAGAAATATCCGCTTAACGTTAGTATTATCTCAAAACAAAGAACAAGCACCAAAAAAACCAATGAAAAACTGAAACAGTTTCCAAGTGTCTCAGTTATTTTTATATATACTTATATCAAAAAAAAAAAAAAAAAAAAAA